CAGTACTTTTGCCTCCTCAGAATCTACATCTTCAAACACTGCAATCTTTGTTTTTAAAGTGCGTTTTTAAATTATTATTATAAAAGCTCTATCATTCTGTTCTAATAGCTGAACAAATTTTTGGCATGTTTTGCTTTTTATGTATATTTTATGTATTGTTTTTGATTTGATAACTTTGAACTAAACAGATTTTCTATTAGCTTCAGATCTTGATCAAAGTTTGGCACCAAATTTATAGGAGTGATTATATTGATTTTCTTACATCTTTTGCAAATGTGTATCAGGCTGTGCGAAAACTCTCCATAAGTTGGTTTTGAAACCCAGTCTAGTATTCCCATGGGATTTGGGAGATACATAGCATTATTACAAGATAAATGATTTGCTTTATTGAACACAGACAACAATGCATATTTCGACTGAGATCAATGACCTGTGAATGTGTATCACCAGTGATCAGTCAAGTAGAAACAGTCAAAATATTTTATCAGATTTTCTCAATTTTTGCATATTTTCATACAGGACATCTGTTGTTCAAACTCAGGGAAGACTTTATACTGATGAATAAGGTGACCAAGTTTGATAAAGTTTGGAATAGAATTAGTGAAGTTATTGTGCACACAATAACAATTATTAACGACGACAACGCCGGACAGAAATTTTCCCCTTAATATACCTTTTCCTTCCATCTTTGATAGTACGGGCAAGGTAAAAATACAGGAAAATGTTTGCAGGAAAAATGATGATACGGGTCACTAAACATTTAGCTGGGAATTAGGATTACAAAAGAATGTACAGATACCATACTGGCGTGATTACCTGGTTCACATATTATGCATAGTCCGGTTCTCGGATCCCGGATCACTTCACCGGTGTCTTCATTGACTCGCACTAGTTTGATTGGATAAGCCCATGGAGCAATGCGAGAATTGAAACCAACAGCACCAGGTTTGTTATTCGTATTAACAATATTAGCATTCCCTTCAGTTGAACCATAGAACTCGGCAATCTGAAAAAAATAAATGTCCCACATAAAATATCCAATATATGCATATTAACGAATCATACTGAATAATTTCTGTCTTGATTTTCAAAATGTTGTTACATAATAGGAACATCTGGGGTATTTTGCAGCCAAGTAGAACATCATTGTGTTTGATGTTGCCACTTGTATGGCCATTGGCAGCCATTTTGAACAAAGACGAAATCCGTAGGCTGTCAGAATGTGATGGAAGTAAATGACATGGTTTTAAGGATCCCTCACTGATATTGACCATGTACATAGCCAGAATTAATTTTTTGGTTAAGGTGAATGATGTGACATTATGCAAGAATGTACTGATGCCAGTAAAAATAACATCATTCACATTCCCATCACACCAGATTCCCATCTAATATCACTAAACGTTGGATCTTTCCAAAATTTCTGATTTTAAGATGAGTAAGTTAGTGTACATGTTACTAAAAGAAGACGTATATATCGACTACCTACTAGAAATAATCAAGTGACTTAGATTTATCTATCGGTATCTATTTTCAAAACTTGTTGTTCACTGTATTTGTTTGTTGTTTATAATAAATAAATGCTAGGTGTTATGAACAGTGTGTGTCGTTAATGAAAGTAGTTTAACCAGCATAAAAAAAAGATAAAACACACTAGTGTTAGAGCTTACTTTTGGAATGTTAAACCTTGTCACAAATTCCTCCCATATCTGCGGTCTTAGTCCGTTACCGACAGCCATTCTTACTTTATGCTGCTTCTCAACTGCCTTAACGGGCTGCACTTTAAGATACCGACATATCTCACCAATATACTGTATTATCTGAAACAGAACAATGTTGTCTATTACATTGACAAGAATTTATCTTATTTTGCCTTATACAAGTGACCAGAATTAAAAAAAAATTCCTGGTCAATTTTTTTACGCAAAATCGATGAGCATGCAGGTTATTTTTTTACATTGATTTTTAAATTGTCATAGAAATTGTTTTTTTTATTTGATTTTTCCCTAAAATTGTGCATGATGGCCAGACACGTTTTTTTTTGAGTTTTCAAAAATTAGAAAATGTTCAGTAAGATATGAGGTCTTGACATCATCATTGACAGAAATAAAACAAATTTGTGAACATGTGACCAATATAATCAGAGAGATAGAGATTCATCTTTGAATGCATGTTTCATAATAACATAGCGAAATTATTGGCACCTTGCTAGTTGGAACTAAAATAATAAATTAGAATTTAGGATGGATAAAACTTGGATAAAGCATGGTTATTATGTGGTTATCATACTAGTAAATTCTGAAGCAGTGGATGCATTAATGTACATTTTCATTTTCCAGGACATCAACAGATTTGGATTTATGCATGCTAATTTATACGTAAAATGTTTTAGGATACATTCACACATATACATGTAAAATGGAAATGAGAAAGCAACGCCAATAATCAGTCTTGCATATTAATGAACGCAAACAACTTATACATAGTTATTTTACGCATCACTGTTTTTAGTGTTGTGAGACAAGAAAAAATACAACTTACTGTACAATTATAGGTGATGCAGTCGTCCCAAAACTGACTTGCTGAAAACTTCTTACGAATAACCACAGTGATTCCACTGACTATTGTCTGACCAATGCCGACGATGCCGCCTGCCGAGTGATAAAGTGGTAGAGGGCAGTAAATGATATCATCTGAATTCATCCAGAAACATCGGTTCATGCCGTATGCCATGTATACAAATCTAAAGAAAGAAAAGACATGTAGCTGATAGGAATATGTCTTGGATGTTTTGTAAAAACACTATCAGATTTAGAGGTTTTTATGACACTACATGATAATATAAACCTCTATTAGCAAGTAAATTCTGTTTAAGTACTGAAAAGTGACTAATTTTCACTGGGTTTAAATTTCGCTGATTTAGCATTTCAGGCATATTAAGTGGGTTTTAAATTCATGATTTTATCATTTAGATAACGTGTTCTATGCTCAATTTTACATATTCACTGGGTTTTGAATTTAGCGCATATTCCAGTCAGCGAAATAAGCAAAATTAAAACCCAGTGAATAATTAACCCTTTAACAGTAAGCCGATTAAACTGAATTGTGATGATGGTGATTTATAAAAACAATAATGAATCCCCTGCAGCCTCATATTGGATTTGGAGAAGGGTCGAGATTAAGATTCACTCCACACATTATTTTGCCATAGACCTTTCTGATAATCCAATATGGTACTGTGTGAGATTCATTACTGTATAAGTAATCCAATCTATTCTACTCTAATTAGAATTATATTCTACTCTACAAACAAATTTTCAGGACTTGGGAGGGGGGGGGGTTCTCCCTAGTGAAGAACTTCATTAACATGTCGCCTGAAATGCCCTCTTTCCACATTGATTTTGCTAAGTCTGTGGAGGCAATAGATGTGCTAAATCTATACATCATGGACATTTCTAGCATGAACAATTTGTTCACAGTATCTGGGATAGATGTGCACATAAACCAACAATTTCATTTATTGAATACATCTGTCTCGCCCCTCCACCCCACCATCAACATTCAAGGCATTATCAACACTCAGAGCCATAACAATACAGGGTGATATCAACACTCAGTGTAATATTTATACACAGGGATATATCAACAACCAGAGCATAATTAACATTAGGACAATATTGACACTCAT